GGGGTAGGAGCCGAGGCGGCGGCGATCGGGGAGGCAACCCTCCGGGGAGGCCGCCCGGAGGGGGAGGCGGTGCCGGATTCAGTAGCAGCCAGGGCTGGCGGGAGCCCTCGCCTCGAAAATGTATCCTTGAGACGTGAGAGGGAGCGGAGGCGGGGAGGCCGTGCTGCTGGGGTGGGCCTGGGTGCGTCCGTGCCGCGCTACGTGGCCGAAAGCCCTGGGAAGGGACGCTTTTTCCTCCCGTTCTGGCGCTAGGACTCCCGTAGGGGTAACGGAGAGCGAGGCTCCCCTTCCAGTCCCAGGGGTTGGCTGGGGCAGCGGGCCCAGCTTCTCAAAGAGAGGCTGCTGGGAAGACGGATTACTGCCGTGACCTGGCTTGCAACCTGGCCGATCAGTCCCGTGTAGGAAAGTGTAGCCTGAAACAAAGCCTTAGTCGATTGGATCCCAGGTGGCTGCTTTTCTAGCCAGAAGTGTGAGTACTGTGAAGCGGGGTCAGTCTTTGGTGCGGCAGTTTTAATGTATATAATTAAAGTGTCGCAGTTGTAAAGCTAAAACCCTAAGCTTGTTAATTTCCCTTATTGGGCAATGAAGGATCCACTGTTTTTTCATTTTCGCTTCCAGCCCTTCAGAGGCTGTTACACAAAGCTAAAGCTAACTTTAAAGCTAAACCTAGGTTGAACTGTGACTGTACGCACAGAATGGTTTATGTGGGAGTTTGAGTAACGTAAGAAAGCTCTATTTCTCTATAAAGCAATACCCAGCGTTCCTTGTAGGATGTTCTCCACTGATTGCTCTTAGAGTTGGTTAGGTGACTTTTAATAGAGTTCTGATATTAATTCCTTTTAGGAGTAGGAACTGTGAAAGTGATGGAAAAAGCTCCTCTCATTTTCCAGGTTTGCTATAGAAAAAAACATAAAGAACTGATGCCAAGTGTAACTTAGGGGCAGCCTGGTAGTGAAACTTGATGTAACTGCATTGTTGCCTAACTGAAAATGTAGACAAGTGTAAAAAACACTGAGCGAGAGAGCTAGTGGTTAAAACCTATTCTCCAGAATCTTAGAGTGTTTTATTGTCCTCCGTACCAATAGTCAAAGGATGTGCGTTGTTTGCTTGAGCGTGCTGGTTGATCCCAGGAACAGGAATTTTTTCTACTTGTGCCAGGATTTAAGGCTTTGAAAGCTATTCATTGGATCCCTGTGTTACTTTAGATACAAGATCCATCTCATTAATTTTTTTTTTAATGTGGATGGAATATGTAAACTAGTGATAAAGATGCTTTTATTTAATCTCATCTGGTAAAGTTACAGCATTACTGAAGTCTTCGTAAGAACTCTTCATTCAAGGATCTTATCTCAAGAGGCAGCAAGTGAAGATGTCATTTGGCCAAGGTCGCACAGTAAGATGGTTCTAGTGCTGAAAAATAGATTTTAAGTCTCTTAATTTGCAGTGTTGCTCTGAGTACCAGAAGATGGTTACTTTCTGTGTAATGAGTAGTTTGCAGGGCAGACGTATTGATCATCCTACACAGACCTTGCAATGCTTATTAATACTGATACAGTGTCCTTCTCCCTTTTAATTATAAGAGTATTCAGAAACTGATAATTCCATTTTCAAACCAAAAGCAGAAAATGAGGAAGTTTTTTTTTTTCCTTTTTTCCCCCCAATACTTAAGATGCACTCTTCTGTTTAAACATGATAGAGAAGGTTCTAATACTATTGCTCTTTAATAAGTGACATTCAGTTGTTTATGGATCATATAGTTAAAGAAGTGTAAGTTCTTTTCTGTATTTTTCATATCCTTGCCACCTAAAGGAGTTGATATTACAGTATTCCTAAATACTAAGATACCTTCATGTTGCTAATATTAATGGAGTAGGGGTGTAGTTCATGGGCATGTGACTTCAGAAGAGACCTTCACATCAACTGGTACAAGGAGGCTTGTGGCCTGGAGTGGTATTTGGAATTCCCCCAGTAAAGTGAAATGTTTAAGTGTCTGCTAAAAGAGAGACGTCTCTTTTTCTTTATCCTTGGAACTAGTACTTTGCACAATGCTTTGTAGAAGTATATGTATAAATGGAGTAAATGACACGGTGGAGCACTTAAAGAATTCTTGTTACTTTTCTTTGGGTATTAGCTTTTAATAGGCTTTTCTCTTTTAACACCTAGCAACTTTAACATGAAACTGTTGGATAGTCATTCTGCAGAAATTCTGGCATAGAGAATTGTGGAATTTTGAGTCTGAAACATGGGACCAAAATGCGACTTTCTATTTCTGTTGAATTCTGAACTCTTCACAGCATACATTTTTCTTCCTTTCTTAAACCCCCCAGTTTCTTCAGTTGGTCTCTTCTTTTGGTTGTAGGATGAAGTTTCTCTTGAGCTAATTGAAGAATAATTGTTGTTTTAATGTATATGTGTGTGTCGGCCTTTCATAGCACTCCATGTAGTCTTGCATTCTGTGTGTAGAACCACATATAAAAAAAACTTCTACATATGCGAAACAGAATTTCTGATTAATACTGTTGTGGGAGCTCTAGCAATTGTATTATCCTGAGCACAAGAAACATCCCAAAGCTTTGTCTTGTTACCCAACTCTAGATGACTCCAGAAGCTATTGAAGTATTTCAATATCAAATAATAGTTAGACTTATTAAGTGATTTAACATCACTTATAAAAAATTAGCTTCAGACTTTCCTGTGACTCACGAAATCACTAATGTAGTTGTCTTTTTGGAAGTAGAAATGTGTTGGAAGTGAGTTTGGCCAATATGCTTACTACATAATTTGGTGTTATACTGCACACAGCTCTTAGTATTTTTAGCATATTTATAGATTGTTTGATTGCCTTCCGGATTTTAGTTTATCTTTACTAGTTTCTGCTTTCTGTGCTGAAGCTTAAGAAAGCATTGTATAGCAAAACATTTCCTGATATTACAGACGTTGTTTTTGTAGGATACATACCAAGATTCTTTATACTTATGTTAGAAGTTAACATAGTGAAACATTCCAAGTTTGGAAACAGCCAAACATCCATGTTGTGAGCAGAAGACAAATATAAAGTTATCATCCTCTGGTTTCAGTGTGTCTGCATTCAGAGGACACCTATTTTAGCTTCTAGTTTTACTCCATTTATTGTTTTAAGCGATGATGTTGATGAAAAAGCATTTCGCATAACTGGGTGTGAGTCAGCTGTTATCACAGTGGGGTTGGTACTGAAAGTCGAATGAGTCAAACTTGACTCGGTATCCTAAAAGGTTTCCCCTCGAGCATGATTGTTTTACAGGATAGTTTAGCTTTTTGAGTGTCAGGTTAAGGTAAGAGGATTTGAACCTCTAATAGTGAGAACTTTTATTCTGGATACAGTTGCCTAAGAATATTTCCATTGCCTGCCTTGGACAACATGTTGTCAAGAAAATCTATCCCTTGGGCACGCATAGACAACCTTTTCTGAGTAATTAGTAATTCCCAATCCTCTTTTAGCATTTTTTGAATGTTTTGATTGCAAGTCTTTAGCCACTTTTTTAATTCCCTTCAGTTGTTGATTATTCTGTGCCTTACCTCATTTGTTGAGCTACAGTTACTGCAGTGTGTAATTGTGCTGTGGCTAGACTTAGCATTTTATGAAAGAATAAAATGAGTGAAAATGAATTTAACCTGTCTTTTTGGGGAGTCAATACTTGACTTAGGAACTCTGGAAGTCTGACTTACTCTCTGTGATAGGGAACCTTCTCAGCATTACAGCTGTTGTTTCTGGGAAGATGGTGTGAGCAAGAGACAAGACCTCTCAGCAATTCATGAAATTCTTGTCATAAGTAGGATATTTTAAATTGTTGGTTTGAGAAAATGTTTATTTAAGCTGTCAATATATAATAGTGGAT